GTCCTTCTCCTTGTACAGTCGAAACCCACGGTAAGGACGTGCGCCCTCCCCCAAGGTACCTTTGCGTCCTCCCCCTCCTCCTCCTCCTCCTCCTCCTCCTCCTCCTCCTCCTCCTCCTTAAGGAACCTCTCTCCTCCGCGTCGTCGTCCTCCTCCTCCTCCTCCCCCTCCCCCTCCCTTCCCTCCTCTTCCTCCTCCTCTTCTTGCCTCCAAGGGCCTTGCTCACTTACCTCCTGTCCAGATTGTGCCTGCAATTTGTATTGTCAACGCCTGCAGGTGGTCGTCGATGCACAACCGCACGTGGCTCTTCAGGATTCTGGACGCTTCGCGTAACCCCGCCAGCCCGTCCAGAGCCGATGCCGAGGGTTGTCCTGATCAAAAAAGTAAGGCCCGCGTCGTACAGATGATCACAGGGCCGGCGACGCCGTCATACCCCAAGAGGGGGAGGATGGGCGAGGCATCGAAAGAGGAGGAGGATGAGGCAGAGACTGAGGAGGTGGAAGAAATGGAGGAGGAGGAGGAGGAAGAGGAGGACAGGGAGGAGGACAGGGAGGAGGAGGAGGAGGAGGAGGAGGAGGAGGAGGAGGAGGAGGAGGAAAAGGAGGACGAAGAAGACGACGACGTGAAGGGCCAGAGGCCTCCTCTTGGATGCCGTTCGGAGCCCCTTCGGACGTCACTTGGGGGTCCCTTCGAAGCCTCATGCGTCTTGGGGGCTTCTTGGCGGCCCTGGCTGCCTCTTGGGGCGTCTTGCGAAGTGCGTCGGGGAGCTTTCTCTCGGGGCCTCTTGGGAGGCTCTTGGGGGCCTTTGGGGGGCCTCTTGGGGTTTCCTGGGCGGCCTGCGAAGCCGCCAAACGCCGCATTCGGTTGACGTGCTGGGATGCGACAAAAAAATGTTCCGGGCGTCTCTTGGGGCCCTGTTGGGGCGCTCTCGGGAGCCTCGGTTGCTTCCTATAGAGCGCCTGTATGCCCCTCTCGGGGCCCCATTGGGCGGAAGGCCATCGAAAACGAAAAAATGGAAAACAGACAACATTGATTTGCTTAAGACTTCGAACGGTCATGGGCATCTTGGGGGTTTCCTGGTCTGTATGAGGCCCCATCTTAGGCCATCTTGGGCGCTCCAACGTCCCGCCGAGAATTCCCGTCCAGGTCCAGGGAAAGGAGGTCAAGGGGGAGGGGTTACGGAAGAGGGGAAGCCCTACGCCCGGAGGGCTCGCGAGATTCTTCCAAAACACCACTATTTCGACGAGCAGTTGGATGCCACGTTATCGTCACGTGAGAACCCGTCCAAGCAGATGTGTCTCACCGGTGAAGATTTTTTGGGAAAAATCAAACGTATCGAGAAATCCTGTTCCAAGGGATCCGCCAACGGGCGCATGTTGCAACGGTATTCTCTTTTTATCCAGAATAGGTGGGCCAAGCGCGCCGCAGCTGGCGCGCGCAGGCGCACTCACAAGGGAATTTTAAAAGTGAAGGAGCGCTGATGTGCGATCCTTTCTCTTTATGCCCTCCCTTCTCCCATCACCGATCCCTCACTTCCTCCACCCCCCTCTCCTCCGAGAGCAAGCCCGGGCTGCGCGGCGGGGCGCGCTGGCCTGCACGAAGATCTCGCCCACGTTGGTGAAAACGGAGGCTTTCCGCTTTCCGAAGCCCAGGCAAGGGGGAGGCGCGGAGAAGTGGATGACGAGGGGAAGGTGGAAGAGACGGTGGAGGAGTATCCTATAGGAGGATGGGGGGAGAAAGTGGAGGAGGTAAGGGAGGACACGACATTAGTTTTGGAGGGGATGAGGGGTGTGAGGAGGAGGAAGTGGAGGAGGAGGAGGACGAGGAAGAGGTGGAGGGGGGGGAGGAGGAGGAGGAGAAAGCAGAGTTGGAGATGGAGGTGGAGGAGGAGGAGGACGAAGAGGACGAGAAGGAGGAGGACGACGACGACGAGAAGGACGGGGAGGAGGGCGAGGAGGAGGAGGAGGAAGAGGACGACTACGATGATGCCCATCGGTGTCCTAGTCGTCCTCTTTCCTCCCTCTCCCGCTCCTCCTCCCCCCTGCTTTCGAGCTGCAGTTCCGGTGCTCGGCGGACCGCTGGTGAAGATCCCTGGCCAATGTTGCCGAAAATGAACGTCCACCATGACAAGGTTCGTGGCCCCAGGGGGGGCCCCACCGAAGGACTATATAACCCATGGGTGCTTTCAATTCGCCCCTCACACGTGTCGTGGTCCCACATGGGGGTCCACCGAAGGCGCCAGTGGTTGGGCCCTCATCGTGTGCGCACTCGTGTGCGGTGCCCTTCCCAAGCCACGCGGCATATAACTCAACGCACGCACACACGCACACACACACACACACGCGCGCACACACGCATGCACACACGACAACCACAACACCGACAACAACAGCAACAACACCACAAACAACAATAGCAACGGCAACAACATCAACATCAACAACGACAACGCACGTGTTATATATGGTTCCCAGGCACTCGCTGTTAACGAAGAACGCACGCATGGCAAGTTAACAACCCTGGGAAAGAGGATAACACAGATTACAATCATGCATGTTTCCAACATGCTTTGTGCGCGGTCAGAGCGCTAGCAAAACGCTGCGCGTTCTCGGACCCCCAGCAGCAGCGCGTGTCATGATCCACCAGCCATGGTATATGCAGATCGGGTCCGCCCAAATTTTCCAGAACGCAGCGTTCCACATCCGTGCGAAGGGACCGAGCGCGCATGCAGATGGAAAGCGCGCAGGGTGCGCCACAACAGGGACGTGTGCCACGAAGCAATGTCACTGCGCGAGCGCTGCCGCCAGTGCCTTCGCTCCTTCTGGGCCACGGAGCGCGTGAGCGGTCTGTCGAGATTCAATGCATGGACCGACGCGGTCAAGTTTAACCAATCGCACGTAAATCTTGCTCGTGCCTTCTCCCGCGCATGTGCGTGGCATTGTGTGCGGTGGCGGTGGTGGTGGTGGCGGTGGCGGTGGTGGTGGTAGTGGTGGTAGTGGTGGTGGTGCGTGTGTATATGTGTGGCGGAGGGGCTCTGCCTTGCCCTCCACCTCCCCCCCCGACACTGCGTCCTGAGGACTTGCTGCGCTTGTAACGCTTTCCTGCCCCTTACCCAAGCTTAATCCCTCGAGAGAACCGCTCAATGCGTCAAGAAGGCGGCCCAACGGCTTCGAGACGAAGCGGGGGCACCACCGTCACCACCACCACCACCGCCGCAGCAACGAACACCAACACGCACGCACGCACGCACACACGAACCTACACGCGCACACGCACGCACGCACACACACGCGCACACACACACACACACACACACACACACACTCGCGCGCACGCACACATGCACGCACACATGTATCGCACACACACACACACACAGACACACACACACACACAGACACACACACACGCACGCACGCACGCACGCACGCACGCACACACATTCACACACACACACACACCTCCAACAACAACCTCCGCCACCACCATCACCAACACTACCGCCGCCACCATCACCACCATTACCGCTCACGCAGGCACGAACGAACGAACGCACACACGCACACACACACGCACACACACACACACACACACACACACACACACACACACACACGCGCATTACGGGCGACGCCCAATGCCTGGGCCGGGCAATCCGGCCCGGGCAATCCGGCCCGCGGGCCGGACAATCCGGCCCGGGCCGGATTTATGATGCCCATCCGGGCCGGGGCATCCGGCTGGGTGAAAAAAACAGGGTTTTTCGCTCCGAGAATGAATTTTTCACATTAATGTTAAAAATTCATTCTCAGCAAGGAAAACCTATTTTTTTTTCACCGATGAGTCCGGCCCCGGGGACAAATCCGGGCCGGGGCATCGGGCCGGGACACCCGGGTGAAAAAAAACAGGGTTTTTCGCTCCGAGAATGAATTTTTCACATTAAAGTTAAAAATTCATTCTCAGCAAGGAAAACCTTTTTTTTTTTCACCGATGAGTCCGGCCCCGGGGACAAATCCGGGCCGGGGCATCGGGCCGGGACACCCGGGTGAAAAAAAACAGGGTTTTTCGCTCCGAGAATGAATTTTTCACATTAAAGTTAAAAATTCATTCTCAGCAAGGAAAACCTTTTTTTTTTTCACCGATGAGTCCGGCCCCGGGGACAAATCCGGGCCGGGGCATCGGGCCGGGACACCCGGGTGAAAAAAAACAGGGTTTTTCGCTCCGAGAATGAATTTTTCACATTAAAGTTAAAAATTCATTCTCAGCAAAGAATAATTTATTTTTCCACTGATGAATCCGGCCCCGGGGCTCCCGGGGACCCCGGCCCGGGGCCCCCGGGAGTGTGCATGCATTTTTTCGCTCCCGGGAGAATCACGCCCCGGGCGCGAAATTCTTTTGCCTCCGGGCCCTCCCGGCGAAGGGAAGCCCCTTCCCTTTCATTCCTCCCCCGCCGGGAGGGGGGGGGGGTAGCGGGGGGGGTAGCGACCCCCCCCCGAGTCAGATACGACGCCCCCCCCCCGTACCGACCTTGAGCAACGTCGTCATTGAGTCGAAGGGAAGCCCCTTCCCTTTCCCTTCCCCGACGGGGGGGGGAGAGGAGGTCCCGGGGGGGGTCCCGGGGGAGTCCCGGGGAAGTCCCGGGTCAGATACGACACCTCCCTCCCCCACCTTCTCGTCCTTCTCCCCGTTCCCCCAAACCATCCCACAGCCCGTGCCTCTTGCTGCGCATTGCGAACAGGGTCGGCGGCACCGGCCGTCAGGCCTTCGCAATAAACCCGACCCCCCCAGTTACAAAAAGGGCGCCTTCAAAAACCAGACCCGGGGGAAGATCGAGAAGGGACTGGGAGCAGATAGAAAGACTACACAAGCAGAACCTTCCGGAGCTGGGGGCAGATCTCTTGGATCGGCGCGCCGTGCCCCCCCCCCCGGCGGCGCCTCACGGGCGCTGCCCCTGGCACGCTCCCCGCTTGCCAGCGCAGGGGGGTGCAACACCGACCCCAGACAACCCGCGCGGCCCTCCGAGAGCTGATGCTTCTCGTGCAAGCATTGTTTTTGTTGTTGCCCTTGGCTCCTGGACCTCCATGGCCAGCTCCACGACCGAGCTCCCTGGGTCCAGGCAGTCCTGACTGCCTACCAGACCACCCCAACCCAACCCGAAGACCCGAATTTCGACCGAACTCCGGGTTGGGGGGGGGGTACGAGTTCACATTGTGCTTTTCAATGTTCCCCGACCCCCCCCCACTGGAAATGGAAATGGGGAGCAAATCGGGGCCTTCGGGTTGGGTTGGGTTGGCTTAGTGGGCGGTGAAGTCCTGCAGCCGGCAGAAGTTCACGCGGCCCAGGAGCTCCTGCCTCCCGGCCAGCTCCTGCCGCCCTTCTCGCCTCCACTGCCCGGCGCGCAGCCAGCAGCGGACGTTGGCCCAGTGGGGGTGCGACAGGAAGAGGGAGCAGAAGCCCTCCTTGGCGCTTGGAGGTCGGGAAAGGAATGTGGCATAACGGGGGAGTGGTGCTGATCGTGGAACATGGCGATGCTATCTGCATGAAATTAGCACTACACCCCTTTCTGCCGTACCCCTTTTCCTACCTCCAGATCCTTGGCGCCCTCGCAGCCCTTGGGGTAGAAGACCATCTGCAGGCCCTGGACGCCGCCCGCCTCGAAGACGGCGCTGCGCATGGCCTCGGGTGCAAGCACCATGTAGCCATATTGCTGCTCCCAGGACCTCCCCCAGGGCGTGCGACGCCAGGGGGGGGGGGGACGGCCCGTCCACCCACCTCCCCATCATAGGGGGGGGCGCGAAGTCCCTGTGGACGGGACGGGGTGGGCACGGAAGGACACCAATGGTGGGCACCATGCGCCTACCACAACCAACGGAGGTATACCAAATGTCCTCCACCATTCATGTCGCTTTGATAATCAGTGAACTTGTCAACTTGCTACTTGAACCTCTCTCCAGCGGTGGCGACGAGGGCCTCCCAGACGGCCCCCAGAAAGGCGAAAACGAGGCAAGGGTACGGCAGGTTCGTGTCATGTCGACCCCAGCGTTGGTTCCTGACACCGCGGGGATCGTTCAACCCTGAACGATTGCCCCCTTTCTGGAACCTCCGATCGTTCAACATCGACCGACGCCGGGTCGCCAGCGGCCGTCAATGTTGAACGCCGGCGGCGGCGGCGACACGACGCGAACCCACCGCAGTGGCATCCGCACCTCCTCCTCCCCTGGGCCTCGCCCCTCGAATAGCGCTGCAGCAGCGCCGACTCCCGCTCCACGCGCCACTGCACCCGGCGCACCCTCTGGCTGATGGGCCTGTTATCCACTACCACCACCATAAGTTGGAGGGGGGAAGGGGGGGAGGAGGAGGAGGAGGAGGAGGAGGAGGAGGAGGAGGAGGAGGAGGAGGAGGAGGAAGAAGAGGAGGCGGAGGAGAAGGACCCCTTCCCCCATCCAACTTATGGTCGTGGCGGTGGAACACAAGCCCATCACCTCTGGCCGCCGGCCGCTCCCGCGGCGGCCTCCTGCGGCCGGTGGCTGACGCAGCTCCTCGCCACGAGCGCGCCGGCGAGGTCTGCGCCCTCGGGCGCGGCCGCCGTCCGCTCCCGCGTGGCCCGCAGGATCTCGACCCCGAGCTGCAGCGAGCCGTCCTCGCGCGGGGGGCGCGGCGGCCCTCGGGAGGCGCCTCGGAGCGCGAGCGCCTCGCCGCGAGCGCCCCCTCGCGGAGGCCTGGGAGGCCCTCCGTGGGGGGCCCCAGGAGGCGCCTCCCTGCCGACGGCCCCGCCGTCGCCGTGCCGTCGCGAGCGGCGGCGGCGGCGCCAGCGGCACGACGAGGGCCCGCAGCCCTTGTGTTTTTTTCTGGTCCACGAGGGCAATGCAAAGACGAGGCTCCAGCGCTGGTCCAAGAAATCCGCGTGGACCGCCGAACGCTCATGTCTCTGTTGCGTTTCCTTCTCTTCTGGGAAAGGCAGATCGAGAGATCCGCTGCCCCTCAGGAGGGCTATGGCAACCGCGCGCTCCGTGGACCAGCGCGAGCAACGAGACGCGCGCAGCGCAAACCGTAGAGACGCGCAAATCGAGACGCGTGTGCACTTGTGTGCCTGGTCTCAGTTGCGACCGCTTGGTGAGCGGTTTTTTATTCGGCGTTTCGACATTGGGCGGAGGGGGGGGGGGAAGGGGTGGGGTCTGGCTCCGGCCATCTGCTTCATGCGACGGTTTGGAACCGTGCGTCCTATGGGGGAGACTCCGCCTGCTCGAAACAGGCGCCAGCAAAAACAGCCAAGATCCACTCCACGGGGGTCGGGGGGGAGAGGGGGGGGGGGGTGCGAAGGCCCGCGCCGATCGGCAAAACAATTGATTGCAAAAACGATCGCTTGGCCTGCCACTGAGCTTCACGCAGGCCTCCTCTGCGCGCGGGGCGAGCCCCGCGCGCTCGACGCCAGCGGCGCCCGCGGGGGGGACGGCGCGCGGAGGGCGCGGGCTCGACCCCCCCCCACCCCGCTCTGGGGCCTGCGGATCTGGCCGAACTCGGCGCGCTGCCCGGAACATCGCCGGCCACAGCGCCCCCCACTAGGGGGCCACGTGCGAACCCCACGACTTCTGAGGCGAAGTGAGCCCCACCCTCCCCCTCAGAAATCGTGGGGGGTAGGGGTAGGGTTCGCATGTGGCCCCCTACCCCAGACGAGCGGGCTCTGGAACCCTGAGGCCAAGCATGTTGCCATCTCTTTTTCTTTTTTGTTTCAAAAAGCGCGCGACGTTCGCCCCAGAAATGTCGCTTCTCGCTCTGTGCACCCTGTGGCACAAGCTCCCGAAGCGAGGCGATCGAGGCACCACTGCCTATCCTCGAGGGCGGCGAGAAGGCCTGGCTCAAGAAGGGTGAACTCGACGGCTGCCAGGGCGCCTCAGGTCGTGCAATAGTTAACGGGCGAAAAACGGTATAAGATAAACTTGTTCGCTGTCGGGGGCGCCTGTCCCTGGGCGGCTGGAAAGTTTATACCCTTACGGTGGCACCGTAGGGGTATAAGCTTTCCAGCCGCCCAGGGACAAGCACCCCCGACAGTGAAAAAGTTTATGTTATACCGTTCTTCGCTCGCTGAACTAGACGTGCCTGAGGTCGGGCCTGGGAGGACCTCGAGCCCAGCGAAACCAAGCTAGTCCAACGAACCCTTCTGGCAGCCTCCGATGATTCGGGTCCATCGAGCCAGCGTCCACGGCCCGAGTCATCTCTCTTGGGGGGGCGCATCCGCTTCTGCTGGCAAGCTTCCGCCGGGCGCGGGCGCCCTCGTCTGGCTTCCGCCGCCCTTCCGCCGAGACAGAGATGCCGACCCCTTTCGATCATCGAAGGCGAGGCCACCGTTTCTGGAATGCCTCACGTGAGCGACGGAAGCAACCGGGTCTAAGTACTAAGTTTAGGTCGGGCGTGTCCCTCTACAGGCGGATTTTGAAGGACACATTGAAAATATCCCACACAAACTCCAAAATGGTCAAACAATAACATCACAAAAAAAATCGTCCCCATATTATTGGTTGACACTTTTTGCATATTCCTCCTGTAGAGGGACAGGCCCGACTTCATACTAAGTTCTCATTTGTCACAAACTGACATGTGGCAAGGGCGCCGCGCCAAGATGCCCTGGAGACGACACATTTCTGGTCTGACCCCACGCTGTCTGCAGGGGAAGCTGCGCGGTCTACACCCGAGAGAGCGGAACCAGACCCGCTGGAAGTGCCTGCCTTGGTGGGGGATTGGTCCAAGAATGGCCTGCAATCAGGATGTTGGATCCCGCACACACCACTTTCAGGGGGGCGTAAGACTCGGGTACAGGGGACTCGGAAATCCCCGACGAGGTCGTCAAAAAAATGACGAGGCCGAGCCTGCATTTTGACGAGGCCTCCCGCTGCAGACATCCCACGAAACTCCTCCTCGTCAAAATCCGAGTCGCGGCCGTCAAAAAACGATGGCTAACCCGAGTCCTGGCAAACCCGGGTCTTACGCTCCACCGATACTTGGGCAAGGAAGTCGGCCAAACGTGCCCCACCAAACGGAACCACACGTAAGCAAAGAGAGTGGTTCTTGCGCGAGAGGGCGCCGCGACTTCACGTCGCGCCCCCCCCAAGGGGCCGCCAGCGCGGCACACCGCGCGGCGAGGAGGGCGGTCACGCGCGACCCCTCGCGAGAGCCCCGAGCGCGACTGTTGGCACAATGCAGCCCGTTTCTCTGCGTCGTTCACATACGGCTGCGATCGACCGCTGCTTCGGCGTCAGCCGGCCTTCCGCTGAGGGAGGGGTATTAACCCGGTCGATATCTCGAAGGCGGAGCCCTATCGACAGCGCGGACCTCATCACGCGACCGCTCCAGACATCCGACGGCATGACCCTTCCAAGGCGCGGCCCCAGAGGTACCGACCCCTTCCCCGGGCTTCTCGCAGCAGTCTTTCGTCCCAGACCCATCTCTGGTGGCCCGGGGGCCGGACGAAAGGCCACACAGGCCGAAATCTAGGAAAAACGTCGAAATTGAACAATCAAGAAAAATCCAGGAAATCAGGGAAGACTAAGCTATCTACATAAATCAAGCTCGTCGGAGATCTGGGTCCCCGATGGCCTTCGGGTACCTCCAGCGGTCGCCCCCGGAGGATTCGGGCAGCCCCAGCAGGGCCCTCGACGAGGCGCAGCCGCTGAAGAGGATCCCGAGGCTGGAGGGCCTACGGGGACCAGCGGAACTGTATGAACATCGCAGTTGACTAACCTCATGCCCGTGAGAATAAACACTAGGGGATAATAAAGTTCGGGGTTCAGGGAGAGATAATAAAAGTAGCCCAGCAGACCTCAGCATAATCTCGAAGTAAGAGATGATCAAGAGGAGACCAAGCCGAGCACGTTTTGAGACATCCTTGGCGTTTAGTTTTCATAGCAATAACCTCAACAATGGCTTAAGAAATGAGGAGGAGAAGTAGAAGAGGAGAGGAAAGGAGGATAAAACAAAAATTCTGAAGATTCAAATGTATTAAAATCTTATTTACAAACGCTTTATGAAAATTACAATTTTTTAGTGATCGTGTATGGTAGCTCATGTGCCTCGCTTTCCGCGGATAATCAACCCCAGGGATAAACAAGTTCAGGGGGGGCGCGGGGAGAGAGAGGAAAAAAAGAAAGAAAGAAAGAAATATATAAAGGAATAAAAATATGAATTATATGTGATCGCTTCGCTTGATGTTGCTATATCAACATCGCTTGATGTTGCTATCTCAACATAACGTTTCGAGGTGATAATGAAGTTCGGCCTCAGCGCTCGCCGCCCAATTTGAATTTTGTATAGGGCGACGATAATCAACTCTAAACACTGAAGGGGGGGGGTCCCTTTATTATCATCGGCATGCGGTTACTCCAGATCTCGTAATAAAAGGGAGGGGGTCTGGACCCTCCAAGACAAGCCATTTCAGACCTCCCCCGTGGGAGAACCCTCCAACACATCGTCCCCAGACCCCCCCAGGCACTCCAAGATAGCCTGGAAGAGACCCCCCCCGAAATGAGACCCCCCTCCCTTTATTACGAAATCTGGAGTACCTACCAGACTACCCCAACCCAACCCGAAGACCCGAATTTGACTCTCATTTCGGGTCGGTGGGGGTACGGGTCCCATGTGTGTTTTTCAATGATCCTCGACCCCCCGAAGACACTGGACATGGAGGTCAAACTGGAGGCCTTCGAGTTGGGCTGGGGTGGTTTGGTGGGTGGTGAGTAATGGAATCTTCGTCGCCAGATGCCGTGGCGCCAACGAAGCGCACAGAGGCAGGAGCGGTCAACATCGAGGCGGGGCATCGCATCGAATCGGCACGTGCGTCGGATAGGGCCGCACCGGCACAGCATCGGGATCGGACCAGGTCGGCCGCGTCAGGATGCACAACAACACCACTCAAGCATCGGCCCGCATGGGATCGCCGGGACACCGGAAGCGAATCGAATCGGGCTGACAAAAATCGATACGGTGGGGGCATTGGACAGGGAACCTTTTAGATAAGGAATCCAGGGTCTGGAAGCCTGTGGAAATCAAAGTAGTGGATCGCTTATGGATATCACCACAACAGCCCTCATCAGATAAGGAATCCTCCAGGGTCTGAAGCCTCCTGGGCACATTCCTTAACGAACGCCCACACCGTATCGAGTCGGATCGATCGAATCGAAATTGATCCAGGAAAGGGTGGGGCGATCGCGGAGCAATTTCGGCGCTGGGCAGTCCGGGCCGACGTGCTCGCCCAGCGCGCCCAGCTGCTCCGAGCCGCACCGCCCGGACGCGCCGTCGCCGAAGGAGTGGGCGAGGCTCAGCGACTCGCCGCCGATGAACAGCCTGAACTCGAGGGCAAGTCCTCGGCACCAAGAGGCACACCCTGAGATCGGGGCGCTGCCATCTCTCCGCGCCGCGCCCTCTCGCCGATGCCTCGGGGCCCCGGGGCCCTCACGGGCGATCCGGCCCGCACCGTGCAGCAGGCTGGTGGTGGGGTCTGGGGCTGCGGTCGTGCTTTCTCTCGCGAGAGGGTGCACTTTCGCCGCAAAACCTCGGATCCTCTGGGAAGGCGCCCGCACGGGGGATGTGGCGGCCCCGATCCCCGACTGCGGAAGGGTTCAGCCCGGACCACAGATTTGGGGACCAGCCCTGGGACATGTTCAGTGGCTGTGACCCGGCGCACGTGCATTCTGCATAGTTTTCTGCACATTTTCTGGCCTTCGTTTTCCATATGCCAATGTGTGCCGATGCGCCGTCTAGGCGCGGCTTCTTCTGTTCTGTTCTGTTCCTGGGACACACGATGGTGGGGCGCCCATCCTCGATAGGGGTGCGTCCGCATAGCCCACTGGGGCGTGCATCCCAGAGTTCCCCCCCTTTCTGAGCGGCCAAAAACCTTTCGGGCGGAGCTCGGGGATCGGGGGAGCGAAATCGCCTGCGATGCTGCGGGACGGGAAAATGACCACAGCCACTGCTTCTTGTTTGCGCCGCCTTCCAGCCGGCCGAAAATGAAGCAGTGGTTGTGGTGATTTCCCTGGTGCCAAGCTCAACGAAAATGACCACAACCACTGCTTTGTTTCTGCGGGCTGGAAGGCGGCAACAAATGAAAAGCAGTGGCTGTGGTCTCTTTCACGCCCCGTAGATGCGACTTTGCCGCAACGTCGGACCTCTGGGAAATTGCCCCCCCGCGGCCCTGCGTGCACCCGCGAAAACGCTCGGAGATCTACTGACCCAGGTCCATGCACACCTGGGGCCAGTCAGGATCCTGCAGGATCCTGCGCCCAAGCCGGGGTCCATGCGCCCCTGGCTCCGCAGGATCCTGCAAAATCCGGCGCTCTGATTGGCCCCCGCTTGCATCGACCCCCGTCTGGAGCCTCCTGGAGCGCGCTCCAAAACGCCAGGCCAGCGGAGGCGCACAGCGCACGCGCACGCAGCATGTTGCGCTGGCCTCTGCCTGGCTCTGTCGCGCGGGGCGGGCCTGGCGAAGCTGGTGGTGTTTAGTTTTGGTCCCCCCCCTTTTCCTCCTCTTCTCTCCTCAACTTCCTCCTCCTCCGCCTCCTCCTCCTCCTCCTCTTCCTCCGCGCCCAAGTGAACGTCGCCGAGACCGCGGCAAACCCACGGCAAGCCCTGCGCCCCGCGCCCGAACAGACGACGCTGGCACCGCGGCAAACCCACGGCGAACCCACCGCGCTCGAGGCGGCGTCTGCTCTGGAGACCGCGGCACACTCCCCAAGACGGAAGGCCGGGCGTCGGAACAAGCGGCGCGGCGACATATCCATATCCGGTGCATCTTGGAATTTCTGGTTCCCTTCCCCAGACACCCAAGGCGCACTGGCTGTGGATGAACAGATGCCGCCTCGTTGGGTGCTAGAATCGTTATATCTAGTGCGCCCCGGCCTCTTGGCGCCGCTTCCGAGAAAGTCCCAGACGCAGTGGATATGGGCATGCATCTTGCCCGCAAATACGTACATAGAGTGAGAAAAAGAGGCACATGGAGAGGCATTGTCGGCGGCCTTCCCGGAGCGCCGCTGCACCCCCAGCGCACGGAGCGCGATGTGGGCGGCGACAGAGGCGCCGCCACGGGGCCCAGCGCCAGAGCCCCCCAAAAGCGTATGCTCATGCAGACTCTTCTCCCTTCGAAAATAATCGGCGGCGAGCGAGGGGGGAAGTGAGAAGGAAAAGGCCTTCCCAGAAGGCGGCGGGACTTCTCAGAAGTCCTCGCGCCTTCTGAAAAGGTTTTTGTTTGTCTTCCGGGAAGGCTTAGAACATCTCTCAGAAGGCCGGGGGACTTCCGAGCCTTCTGAGAAGGTCCCTTCGAAAAAAATGCACCAGGGACAAAAACCCAATCAATGGATGGTTCGACATGGGATCGATAAAGAGATCGATCCGAAGATCGACCGGGAACCCGGGAACCCGGAACCCACCGAAATCGGCCCGGAACCAATAACCAGGAATCCAAGAACCCGGAACCGGGAACCCAGCAACCCAGCAGCCGGCTGCCAAAAACGGCGGGAAACTCGCGTCAAGTCTTTCAATCTCCGCTAGGACCCCTTCAGTGCAGGCACTGATGGGGGAAAGATGAAAGGGTGGGGGGCGGGAGCGGCGAAGGGGCCCGCAGGAGGACCCGACCAGAGATCCGAAACTTCGTGGGTGGGAACTGCTCGGGAGGGTGAGGCCTGCAATCAAGGGGCCCTGGGACACACAAGCAAGTACACACAAATAACAGGATTCCCCATATTTTCCATATTTCCTGGGGTTTTGTCTTCCCCCCACTTCCCATATTTTCCCATGTTTTCTGGGGAATCGGCGATTCATTGTGTCTGTATGTTTTTTCCCCTCCTGATGCAAGCGGGTACCTTGGTGGCGAGCCGCGCCGGGCCGCGGTGGGCTCAATCCCGCGGCGTGGCACGCTGAGCAGACGATCCTCCTCCTCCTCCTCCTCCTCCTCCTCCTCCTCCTCCTCCTCCTCCTCCTCCTCCTCCTCCTCCTCCCCCTCCTCCTCCACAATTACTCAATATGAATACTACTCTCCTCCTTCCCCTGATGACGGGTTGGGAGTGTTCGCCCCCCGCCCCCCCCCCGCGTACTGCTTTTTTACACACAGGACTCCCCTGAATTAGGTTTTCGCCTGCATTTGTTTCCAAAATGCTGCTCTCGCTGAGACGCCGGCTTCATTTTCGGGCCCCGCTCGTTCCGAATCGTGCTCCTGCTGCAGCGCTGACCTCATTTCCGTGCTTCCGCTCGTTCCGAATCGTGCTCCCGCTGCAGCGCTGGCCTCATTTCCGCGCTTCCGCTCGTTCCGAATCGTGTTTCCGCTGCAGCGCTGGCGTCATTTCCCGTGCCATGCCACGGCATGCAATGCAATGCTAGGTTGCGTTCCGCTGCGCGATGCCATGCCTTGAGGTGAAGCTGTGATCTGCAGTGCTTAAGTGCCACGTCGTGCTATGCCATGCTACGCTTTGATCTTCAACGCCATGCTATGCAATGTTATGTTCGGGGCCGCTGTGCGATGCCATGCTTTGCGTTGCAAAGCTTTGTGATGCAATTCTTCACTACGCCACGCCACGCCATGCTGTGACATACTACGCTTTGCGGTGCTCTTCTACGCAATGCCATGCCGTGCTCTACAATGCATCGCGTACCCTTTCGGGATCATTGCCCTGCTCGACATCCGACGGTGCGAGTAGAGAGGGGATCTACGCCATGGTAAGGGATGGGAGAGAGGGGTAGGATGTCAGATATGAAGCGACCGCACCTAGCTTGTCCTCCTCCTCCTCCTCCTCCTCCTCCTCCTCCTCCTCCTCCCCTCCCCTCCCTTCCCCTTCCCCTTCCCTTCCCTCCCCTCCCCTCCCCTTCCCTCCCCTTTCCCCTTCCTCCTCCTCCTCCCCTTCCTCCTCCTCCTCCTCCCTCTCCTCCTCCTCCTCCTACTCTCCCTCCTCCTCCTCCTCCTCCTCCTCCTCCGCCGCCTCCTGGCTGAATATTACATGACGAGACGCGCTGCAGCGACAATTGCAACATCGCAGAACATCGCGACCGGAGCCCTGGACAGCCATCTTCCTGCGCCGTTTTTCGGGCTGGATCGAGCTTTGAGGGGCCCGAAGCCAATCGAAGATGTCCCAATGCATAATGGCCGCGCCAGGATCCCAGGGTATCCCCCTCCGTAAATATGTGTACGCCATGTTTTTGTCAGGTTCATTCTTCGCACACACATGTATACATGTGTATATATACATATGTATGTATAGGTTTATGCACGTATGCACATAAGCCTATTTTATAGTGTATGACATATGTATATATATGGATGTTTATGTGTTCTTTGTTTATCCAGTTGATATATCAGCCAGCATTGACTCCAAATAGATTAGACGTCTGAAATCAATGAATCAGAGGAATCGAGCATGCTTGGAATCCGCAACTCAGCAAGCAAACAAGCGTGCAAGCAAGCGCGCAAGCAAGCGCGTAATCAAGCAAGCAAGCGTGCAAGCAAGCAAACAAGCGTGCAAGCAAGCACGCAAGCAAGCAAGCGAGCAAGCATACATAAGGGGGGGTGCCATTGGAAAAAGGTGGAGGGGATTGGCAAAGGCATAGGCATAGCGGCATAGCCATAGGAATTAGGGGGGGCATAGGAATTGGGGGGGGGGGGCAACGGACCAATTAGTAAGGTTTGAGCTGAGACGCCCATAGGGCAAGCCTATTCGAATCATAGATATGGTAGCACCCCGCCCCAACATCCCGGAACCATCAACACCAAAGAACCTTCACTGATCGTTCGATCATCGTCGTCGTCCTCCTCGTCGTCCTCCTCCTCCTCCTCCTCCTCCCCCCTTTTCTCTTCGAGCGGCTTCGAAAACAATGAAGCCGCGAACAGACGCAGACAAACTATACAAAACCAAGAATACGATGATTTCGGGAAAACGTTGTGACTCTCGCTCTCCCCAACAGTTCTCCCGAATTCATGTTTGTTTTTGTTGGGCGTTGTCGCTGTCGTTGGCGGTTTCGGTCGGCACTCCCTCCTCCCATCTGCGTTCTTCTAACTCCTCCTTCCTCCCTCCCAGAGGAGAAGGCTGGGGTCATTTGATGAGTCGTTCCTCTTCCTCCTCCTCCTCGCCTTCCTTCCTTCCTCCCGCGCTCTCCTATCTCGTCCCGCGCTCCGTCCCTAAGGAAGAAAGAAGAAAGTCTTTGATGGGTCATTCCTCCTCCTGCTCCTCCTCGGCGTCTCCTCTTTCTCCTCCTCCTCCTCCTCGTCCTCCTCCTTGTCATCGTCATCAGCATCGCCAGCATAACCATTACCACTGTCACGACCACCATCATCATCATCATCAACAACAACGTCAGCATCATCATCATCGGGGTCCCACTCATGTTATCTAGCTCCTCACTTTCCTCCTCATGTATCTCCTCGTCCTCGTTCTCCTCCTCACCATCCCCCTCCTGGGGGTTGAGACAGAAACTCATCGATTGCAACCCAGTCTGTCACAGTCCTTGCTTTGATAGAATTTCTGAGCGCGTTCTGTCTATTCGCGCAAGCCCTCAAGCGGGTGGAACGATGCCAGGGATCACCAAACTAGGACGGCCACTCCTTCTCAGACTACCACGTGCTACTCTGCCCCACCCTGTTAATAGCGTGTGCCCACCTCCTATGCAACCCACCCCCCTCTCCTCCCGCGACGCAGGCCGCCGTGAGCGGCGTCCACGCCGCGATCGCCCCGGATCCCAACCGCAGCGACCTACCAGTTCCACCATTGCCCTGGCACTCGAAGCCTAGCACCCTAGCCTCGACACTAGCGTTCTAACCCAAAACACGAACACTCACCCCCTCCTGCTTAGCTCTAGCACCCTAGCCTCCTAGCACCACGCAGCCAACACCCCAATCCTGACCTCCTAAACCTGACGCCACACCCCTCACACCCTGACGCAAATCTTAACACTCGAACCCTTAGCACTCGCACGAACCATGCACTGTAAGCATATCACCCTGAGGCAAACACTCGACCTCTCAGCGAGCTGGCCATCGAACGCGGCCCGAACCTTTTACACAATCGACCTACGCCCGAAGCAAAAACATGAATCGCATCATCCGAACCCTGGCACCCTGACCCTAAGAATTCGCTTTGGCATTAACACCCCAAGGGGCGTTATACATACGATACATATTAGGGTGGTAAGGTTGGGAAATGAAGGTTATGATGCGGGTGTTGGGTTCACGGTGTTTCAGTCAGGGCTATTCGGTTAAGGAACATGTTTAGGGCCAGGATCCGAAAGTGAAGATCAGGGTTCAAGAGGTAGCGAGTGAAGATCACGGCGATGACATTAGGATTGCGGCCAGGGTATTACAATTTGAACTAATGCTCAGGGATAGGAGTGTCAGGGTTAGGTTTCGGGTGTTCGAGAAATCGTGCTAAGTGCAGGGGTAGAGTGTTCAGGTTCGGGTGCCCAGGTTCGGGCTCCTGTAGGGTGTTACGAACTGGAGGGACCAAGTTGATGCTTCACGTTGGGATGGTGGGGCTCGCGGGCCAGAGGCAGGTTCAGGGTGAACAGTTGGGAGAGGCAGCGGTACTGTTCGGATGTTTGGTGTAATTTATTGGGGCTAGGGCTTGAAGAAACACATCGCGCTGACGATTAAGAATAGCACGACCGGGTCGGGCTAGTAAGGCTTCGATACTACTGCTAAGGTGGCCGTGTTTAAATAAGGGTGTTAAGGTGCAGGGTGTGAAGGGTAGGACGTTGAAACTGAGCCGCTCGTGAGCACTTGGGCGACGTGCTGCCCTCCAGGGCCTGCCCGGTTGCCGCAGCCGCGGGTCCCAGGGGGCCCCACCGAGGTCCCCGAAACCCCAGCAGCGGCCAGAGACATGCAACCAGACCGCTGGCCCTCTGAGCGGAGGTGGTCTGATGAGTTTCCTCATTCATCATCCCTCCGCCTACCCCCTCCCCCGGGCCTGGACAGGACGCCCCGCGGGTCGTTGGAACGCCTGTTGTAGCCCAAGATGACCCCGAGATGGTTCAAGATGCTTGAAGATGGCTCCGGGTGCAATGAGATGGCTCGAGATGGCTTCCAAGATGTGCAGAGAGGCCCCAAGACCGCCCCCAAATGGCTCCATGTGGCATAGGAGCACGCCCCAGAAATCCACCAAGAGGCCTCAAGACCGCTCCAAGACGGCTCCAAGTGGCCTTGGAGCATCCCCGAAGGGAGCCACCATGAGGCCCAAATCCCTTGAAAACCTAAAGAACATCGATATGTGTTGCCTTCTCGCCTTTTGGTTTCCGCCTTCCGAGGCCTCAAAATGGCTCCAAGATGGCCAAAGAGGGCCTCAAGAGATGCCTACGAGAGTCCCAAGATGGCCCGGAGAACGCCTAAGAGCAAAAACGCCCCAAGAGCGCTCCAAGAAGTGTCGGTTCCACAGGGGCGAGGCCAATGAAGGCCCACCCCTTCTTTGATCGATCTCCTCCAAGATGGCCCAAAGATTGCCCCCGAGCTTCCCAACATTGCCCAAAAAGGAACCCAAGAGTCGTTTCTGGACTGGCTGGTGGGGTTACTTTTTTGATCGCGACCGCGGCGAGAAGATCGGGCGGCGTCAAGGGGCGAAGAACAGAGGCGACGGCCTAAATTAGCGCACGGGAAGAGGAAAGCGAAAAGAGACAAGACCAAAGAAGGGGAGAGGCAAAGCTGGTGGGGTTACTTTTTTGGTCGGCGGCTCCATGGCGAAAGTCATGAGGCGGGTCAACGTTCGGGGCGCGGAACGAAGACAATTGGCCGCAGTTGCGCATGCACATGCTAGGGACAAAATGACCTTCATTGAGACGCCAGTGGCGTCGGCAGGTGACCGGCACAGACATCCCAGCGGGTGGGGACGCCAAGGCGCGGCGACCGGCGGCGGAACGGAGGGGAGAAGTCGCCCTTTCGGCGCCAAGCTCCAGCCGAACCGCTGGTGGGGTTACGCGGAGCGTCCAAAAATACACGCTCCGCGCCCGCGAGATTCTGCGCACTGACAGCCACAGTCCGTGCAATCATGAGAGAGAGACCCACCTTCTCATCCCTCTGAAGTCTGCCAGAGGTGCCCGGAACGTGGTCTCTGGAAGCCACCGCGGAGGCCTCGCCTCCGGGCCTGTCGGGGTCTCCAGACGCCTCTCTGTATGCCTCCGTCACGGCCCGAACCTCAGGTGCCCCAAAACATCTCGAGCCTCCATCCTCGCGGCCGACGAGCCTCTTTTCTCGACGACGACGACGACGACGGCGGGCGTTGGCGGCGGCCCCTGAGACCCTCGAACGTGGCGGATGACGTCAACGGCGAGGACGGCGGCGACGACGACGACCACGTCGGCGGCGGCGGCGACGAAAACGGCGACGGCAACGACGGCGGCGACAACGACGACGAGGTCCAGGGGGCGCGTGCAGGAAGGCCGAGCACTCTTGCGAGCCTGCGCCGCCGTCCGCTGAGCTCGCCAGCCTCGGCGACATGCTCTCGCCCCTCGGCGAGCCGCCACTCCTCGGTGAACCGCCGCCGCCGCCGCCGCCGCCGTCGCCGCCGCCGTCGCCACCGTCGTCGTCGTCGTCGTCGTCGTCGTCGTCGTCGTCGCTGTCGTCGTCGTCGTCGTCGTCTTCGTCGTCGTCGTGTTTCATCGTCGCCGTCGCCGCCGCCGCCGCCACCACCGTCGTCGTCGTGGTCGTCGTCGTCGTCGACGTCGTCATCGTCGTCGTCGTCGTTTGTAGTCGTCGTCGTCGCCGTCGCAGCCGCGGCCGCCACCACCGTCGTCGTCGTGGTTGTCGTCGTCGTCGACGTCGTCGTCGGCATCTTTCGTCGTCATTTGTCGTCGTCGTTGTCGTTTTCGTCGCCGCCGCCACCGTTTCGTCGCTGGCATCATCGCCGTCGCTTTCGCCGCCGCCACCGACGTCGTCTGCCACGTCAAGGATCGAGATCTGAGGTTTGAGGTGCTTGCTGGGTAATTTTGCAAACCATCGCGACCTCTGGACCCAAAGGATTCTGTTGTTCCCATCGCACTTAAGGGCCACATCCCAGAAATAATTGAGAACACCCAGACAAGCATCAAAAACATGTCGAGCGAATATCGCCTTCCAGGGTCCGACCCGTGAAAACCCCTTCAGATTCGGTCGAACGTATTGCTGGTTACCAAAGCTAAAGCAAGTTGGAACATCATAACCCAAGGAATTCATTGCAAACCAGGATGCGCCTAAGAAAGATCACCGGGCGTTCGCTAATAGGGGGGCGAATCGATGGGGGGGGTAAGAAAGGTGCACCTTTCGTACCCATTCGGGGCCCTAGGGGTCTCGTTTAGGGCCTTTTAGGGCTCCTTTCGTGCAACCCTCGCACCCCCCCAATTATGGCCCCCTCATCACCGAACGCCCAAGATTCTGGGGGCACTTCCCTATCCGAGGGTCGATTCTGGCGGCCATGGGCCGCGAACCAGCCCAAAACCACGGGCGGCACCACCGGAAGAACCTCGCGGGGCCTCTGCTGCTGGCGTCGCCGTCCTTGCCGCCGCCGCCGCCGCGACCTCCGCCGCCACCGCCGCCGCCGTCGCGACCGCCGTCGCGACCGCTGTCGCCGTCGCGACCGCCGCCACCGCCTGTGAGATCCGACATTGCCAAAGATTTCCAACATCGCGGAAAACCGACTAGAACGCTACACTTCTATCTGAGACATCTTTCGCGAGGGATCGATCTGCAAAACTGACCGTTGTGAAAAAATGCAAGGCCAAGAAACCAGGAGCCGTCGCCGCCGTCACCGCCGCCGTCGTCGTTGCCGCCGCCGCCGCAGCCGCCGCCGCCGTCGTCGCCGCCGTCCTGGCGGCCGCCGTTCCACCGTCGCCGTCGCCGTCGCCGTCGCCGTCGTCGTCGTCGTCGTCGGCGTCGCCGCCGTCGTCGTCGTCGTCGTCGTCGTCGTCGTCGTCGGCGTCGCCGTCGTCGTCGTCGTCGCCGTCGCCGTCGCCGCCGCCGTGGCCGCCGCCGCCACCGCCGTGGCCGCCGCCGGCGTCGTCTACCGCGGTCGAAGATCTCAGGGGCCGTGGCCGCCGCCCGCGCGGGGCGGGTGCAGCGCGGGGTGCGCCCGCGCGCGCGCGCGGCGCCGTTGCTCCTCGGGGAGCCCTTCCTGGGGGAGCCGTCGCCGGCCCTCCTGGGGGGGGGGGATCGGGCTGGGCTGGCGCGAGAGCGGCGGATAGACTTCGGTCGGACATGTTCCCCTACAGGGCGGATTTGGGGCGAAAAATGAAGAATTGTTGTCCAAATATGCTCGAAAATTGCCAAACATAGTCGGAAGATCGTCCCCAGACTATTTGTTACTATTTTTGAAAGTCGCCCCTGCAGAGGGGACAGGCCTGACTTAAAAGCTGATGCGAAAGCGGCGGATAGACCAGTTTTGCAAACGTTTGAAGTTGGTGTTGGTGACATTTGTAGACACTGTGCCTGGGCCCGACGAAATTCGACATTGGTTCCTGAGAGAGGAGAAGTTCGGGCGCGCCCGTGTGGGCTGCCGACGATCTCCCCCCCCGAAGACCTGAGGGAGCCGGGGGAACCGTCGCCGGCCCCCAGGAGGCTCAGGCGCGGGCGCCCGTGTGGGCTGCCGACGATCTCCCCACCCCCCGCAGACTGAGGGAGCCTGGGGGGGTCCGCCGCCGGCCCTCCTGGGGAGGGGGGGGGGGGGCTCAGGCGCGGGCGCCCGGGTGGGCTGCCGACGGTCTCTCCCCCTCCCACGAAGGAGCCTGGGGAACCGTCGCCGGCCCTCCAGGGGGCGGGCGCCCGTGTGGGCTGCCGACGGACCCTCCCCCTCCCGCCGACCTGAGAGAGGCGGGGGAGCCGTTGCCGGCCCCTCCTGGGGGGGGGGGCTCGAGCCAGGTCAGGATGAGGTCGTCTGTCTCCGGACTCTGGCAAGTGTGCTTGATTAGGGGGCAAACAATCCACCCCCATGATAACCACCCCGACAAGCGAGGCTTCTGAGTAAACGCAGCCAGAGAAGGAATCGAACAGGGCAGGGCTGTGTAGTAAACGCCCAGGGCCGTTTAGTTAACGCAAATTATCGGGTCCGGGTGGATTTTGCCCCCCTTGATTGATGGATATGGGGGGAGATGGAGGGGGGGGGGCGTGGCGACTTCACGCAAGCTGGGACTCGCTTGCAGGCCTTTTCGGCACCGCGTCGCTTGAAAAAGGCGGAGGGGGAGGAGAGGGGGGGATACCATGCAAGTGAACTTGGCTGCGTCTACTGAGAAACGCCCTCCATCGGGTGTTGGCAGGACTGGGAGTGGTGGGGCCTGGTTGAGTGATGCGTACCGGGGGACGCCCCCCCGCCCCATTCCACGAGCTGGAGCTGTCGTCACTCGAAGGATCACTAACTACGGCAGACTCGGTGTGGTGATTCCGGCGACTCTTTGGGCTGCAGGGACCACTCAATAACCGGCTCCCACAATCCCTATAGCCATTCCTGGCTACATATCCGAAAGATGATGGAGCGACCTCTTCACGAGCGACGAACATATCCGTATTCGCGCCCTTGCGGTCTGAATTCCGGGAGGCGATCCCGCGACCGTTCTGCGCGGGGCATCCGCGAAAAAACGCGGGGCATGCTCGGGGCATCCGCGGGGTCGCGTCCCAGGGGCCAGGCCTGCGAGGCCGCGGATACGGATATGTTGTTCTAGGGGAACGAAGAATGACATAAACGTAAAGACTCGGAGGTCCGCGCGGATTCCTCGGATCGGCGCTGGACCCACCTCCCTGGCGCGCCTTCCGCGCCAGGACCTCCGACTTTGTATGTTTATGTCATTATTCGTTCCCCTATGTTCGCCCACGCACTCTCTCGATCCAAGAAACCCAACTCTGAGACCCCAGGACGTCCATTGATTTTTGGTGCGGGGACGTCACGCTTTCCATCGCAAAACCATCGATGCCCAAGAAACCCAGGGCACCCTGGAGGCAAGCAGGGTGTTTCTTGGCATGGGCCCACACTGTGTGCTGTTCGCCAACGAACCCCCTCGACCCCTGTGAACGCTCCAAAAGCCAAAGTCACCGTCGGAGCATGGCCACGAGAGAACGCGGGAGAAGACGAAGCCGAGCCCCCCTCTCTGCCGCGGGCCCACGGCCCCCGGGAGATAGGCATACCCCAATCGAAGAGAGCACTCCACGGCGGAGAGCCCCAGCACCGAGAACGTCAGGGTGCCCCTCTAATGATGGACACACGAACGTGTTGTTTATTGGACCCGCCGTGCTTTCAGAAGGCTCAGGTAGAGGCGGCCGCAGATCTTAAACCAACGGCCTTCAACTTGCCGTCATGGTGTATGGTGTACAGAAGCTGTTCCTTAGACTTTGTTTCGGCACAGAGTCCTAACAAAAATGCCGTTCGCCCTCGAACTCCCTCGATCCCCGCGAACTGATGGGCCTGTTTTCCACCACCACCACCATAAGTTGGAGAAGGAGAGGAGGTGGATGATGATGATGAGGAGGAGGAGGAAGGAGGTGGAGGAGGAGAAAGAGGAGGAGGAGGAGGAGGGGGACGAGGAGCCCCTCCCCCTATGGTGGTGGTGGTGGTGGCGGTGGCAAAGAACAAGCCCATCACGAACGCTTCGAAACCAAAGACACCGTCGGAGCATGGCCACGGGAGCGCGGGAGAAGGATCAGAGTGCCTGTCTGCCGCGGGCCCACGGGCCCGAGGAGGTGTTCCAGTCGAATCGCACTCCACGGCGGAGAGCCCCAGCACACAGAACGTCAGGGTGCCCCTCTGATGATGGGCCCATCTTCCACCACCACTACCATCGGTGTAGGAGAGGGAGGAGGAGGAGGAGGAGGAGGAGGAGGAGGAGGAGGAGGAGGAGGAGGAGGAGGTGGAGGAGGAGGAGGAGCAGGAGCAGGAGCAGGAGCAGGAGCAGGAGGAGCAGCAGGAGCAGGAGCAGGAGGAGGAGGAGGAGGAGGAGGACCTCCCGATCCTCCCGCCTCCTCCGTCCTGCCTGTGGTAGTGGTGGTGGGGAATTGGCCCACCATCTGCAGCTCAGGATACTCTTTGCCCTCGTGCCAGGTGTGAGCGTACGGCCAGGAGCTCTTGCTTGGCGCGTCGCGGCGGCGGCCCTGGCGACACGCTACGCCCTGCAAGCGGGAAGGCGTCCCGCTCCGCTCCGCGGGGGGGCAGGAGGCTGGGCTCGAGACGCTGACGCCCAGGAATCGGGAAGTGGTCAGCTTGTCGCTCCAAAGCGTGGTGGGCCTGAAACAGCGGCGCGACACGCTAAAGAGAGCTCCTGACAGCAAAAAGGGAGCCATCCTCCCTCTAAGACTGCGCCTCGAGGGAGTCTCTGCTATGCTCGCGACGGGACCAGTCGACAGCCTCCCGAAGATCCAAGAGACCACTCAGTGCAGCGGCCTGATGCATATCGACCTGCTCTGGGATCTCCAACGCATAGCACCACGAGAGCCTGGAGGGGTCAGCTCAAATGGGGCCAGAGAACACGGAAGGCAACGCACAATCGTTTTCAGCGAGTGCATCGCCATCTGATCGTGATTTCGTGGCAGTATTCCTCGATTCGTGCTTGCACTTCGGGTGTCTCATTTCTGCCCCTAACGAATTGGATGGGTATGGTATGCCGAGGCGCTACGTTGCCGCCCCTTGCCGCTTGTGGGTACGCCGAGGATTCGCCACGTCGCCGCCCGTTGCCGCCTGTGGGGGTACGCCGAGGATTCGCCACGCTGCCGCCAACTGCCTTCCCTTTGCCGCCCGTGGGGGTACGCCGAGGATTCGGATTCGCCACCTTGCCGCCCGCCGCCGCCCGCTGACGCCCAATAACGCCTCGTTGCCGCGTCGGTGCCGCCCCGCACGCTCTGGGGGTATGCCAGAGGGGCTCGCCACGTTGCCGCCCGTTGCCGCCACGCTGCGGCGCCGTTGACGCCCCGCGTGCTATGTGGGTGGGCCGGAGATTGAACGAGCGCGCCTGTCGCACACTCCCAGAGGGGGGGGAGGGAGTCGCCCCTTAGGCCCCTCCCCCCCCCCTGGACCTCCCCTGCCCGAAGACCCCCCCCCCTCACCCCCTTTTTTTCCGCCGCTCGCGAGCTCCCCCCCCTCCCACCCTTCCGCGCTCCGGCCGGAAGCTCCCCCTCCACCCCTTTTTCAATGGAGAGGGTCAATTACCCCCCCCCCCTTTGAGACCCCCCGTGCCGGAAGCCCCCCGCCCCTCATTCCCTTTTTTCCCCGCACCTCGGAAGCTCCCCCCCTCCCCCCCTTTCCAAGGGGGAGGGGTTTAGCTGGTTAACCCATGCCCCCCGTTGAAACCCCCTCTGCCAGAAGCCATCCACCACATTCCCCGCTTTTGGGCTCGAGGAGGGAGGGCTTGGACCCCCCCCCCCCCTTTGGCTAAAGGAAGGGCCGCCGAAGACCAAAAGGGCGCTGAAAACCAAAGGAGCGCCGAAAACTTAAGGGCCACCAGAAGCTGAAATCGGGTCGAACGAAAAGGGGGTATAGCAAAGGGGGGTTTGAGAATCAGCTCACGTAGCTGATTTTCCCGGCGCCTCCCGGCGCCAGAGGCGGCTATGTATCGAGGAATGGGCCCCTCGGTGGGGCCGAAACCAGCTGCACGCAGCAGATTTTGTAACCCCTCCTTTCCCAATCCCCCCCTTTTGTCCGGTCCGACGAAAGAGTGCGAAAACCAAGGACGCGCCGAAAATCGAAGGGCACCGAAAACCGAAAGAACGCCGAGAACCGAAGGTGCGCCGAAAACCTAAAGGGCGCCGGAAGCCAGAGAAGCGCCGAAAAGCCAAAGGAGCGCCAAAAACCAAAGGGGCGCCGAAAACAAAAGGGCGCCAACAACCAAAAGGGAACCGAAAACCAAAGAAGCCAACAAAAAGAGCACCGAAAAGTAAAATGGCGCAGAAAACCCGAAGGCGTCGAAAACCAAAGAGGCGCCAAAAACTATACAAGGCTCCGAAAACCAGCGGGGCGCCGAAAACCAAAAACGCACCGAAAACCAAACATGAGCACTGAAAAACAGAGCAGCGGCGGAAACCGAAAGGGCGCCGAAAACCAAAGGGTGCGCCGAGATCGCCGAAATCCTAAATGGCGCCGAAAATCCAAGGGTCGCCGAACTTCTAAACGACGCCGAGCACCAAAGGGACGCCTAAAAAGTCGCCCAACACCAAAAGGGCACC